CAATTTTTAGATTTCCGGTATGCAATACTTTAATTTCTACAAAGGAACTGATTTTTCCTAATATATTCCTATGAATTACATTTGGATTGAAGGAACGAAGAGGTTTTTCAATATCTTTTAGCAGCACGAATTTATTGATTTCAACGGAGGCTTTTCCTGATGTCATGTCATTTAGCTTTTTACATGAAATCTCAGAGTCAATTGGGTCTTTCGCCTTTCTATTTGAAGAAATGTCAATCCCTTGAATTGCTTCAAAAATATTGGTTCCGCCGCAATCAATGTTAGGCGACTGATATAATGGCATTCTTGCCTATTAGCAATAACGATTTACCTTGATTCTACAAGTGATTTTGAGTCCTCTCTAAACACATCCAAAAATAAAAAGTAAACACTTGCTTGATTTCACTTGCTTGGTTTCGACTTTCATGTCGACTTTCTCTGGATGTTTTCAACAACTTAACTCAGAATTTTTTTTTTGTTGTGTGGGTGTATTCATATTCATAGGTATACAATGATGTATCACGCCTCTGTATGACTGATTACACATAGTACCGTACAGGTAGGTTACTTTGTATAACTTAGTACATCATAGATCTGGTTATTTTATTTATATTCTATTATTATTGGAATTATATTACGTTACCATAGCAACTAGTATACATCAATCAATTTACACACTTCAGTGCCTGTCAATCGGGGAATCCCCATAAGTTATCTGGTGGGTTCGATTAGAGATGTTGCCATGTACTATTTATGGTCGTCTCATATACATTTCATGTCTCTTGGATGTTATATGTGGTTCAGTTGCCAAAGCCATGGTCATTCATATTAGAAGTGTTCTAAAAACGTAATTTCCTTAAAAAATAAAGTTAGATATTGAACCTCGGTTGTCGCTGCTCGATGACCACTCCTGGTTCCCCGCGACTTCCCTTCCCCAGTAAAAATGTGTTTTAAGTTTTGTATTTTGTTAATTTCGTATGTTATTTTTACTGAATGGGAAAAAATAAACTTGACTATGACTATGCTGTACGTCCCAATCCGAATAAATCCCACTCGAAGAAGCACATCCGCACGCCACGCTGTCTCGAGAGAACTGTTTACATCTGTATGATTCAATCGAATGGAAGTGAGTGGAAACTTGTCGATAAGACATGTTTCGTCAACCGTGACTTCCTGATGACATAACAATTATTCAACATTTTACAAGTTTCTTTAACTATGATAAAAATATTTAAAGGCTTAAAGTCTGTAAAATAACGCTGCACTATCATCACTCTAAACGCGCAGCGCGCGCTGTTGCTTTTGATTTCTTTTGTGTTTCATAAGCTACTGATGCATCAATTTTCAAATCTAGACCCTGAGGAGTCCCGGAATGGTTTAACTGTAGGTTGGCAACCCTAATGTGGGTCGATAATGAATTGTGCAAATATGGTTAGGCCATGACCGATTAAAGTACTTGTGCTATTCTACCTATCGCCGAACAATATATCCCGTTACCATTCATTTGAATTAAGAACCCTGCTTGTTCTTGTCCACACCTTGGTCTGGGCGGAAAAACACAACTTTTCATGATAAATGTCGGGTACTATGATACAACCATTACAATGTTGGTAAGAAACGCGCTTTTTCCGCAGTTCATGCTTATGTCTGTTTCGTGGTATATAACTAATACTTATAAGGCTTTAATAGAAATATAAATTTTGCAATTTTCAAATAGCACACATTTCCGTTTGTTGCAGGAAGTATGTATGTATTATTATCATATTATGGTCCATACCTAGTTTTCCAACACTTTACAATGATTTAAGTCTAGAGATGAATTATGAAATGTCTTACAGCCAACAGTATACTTTATATGATAAAATTTGTATAAACTTTGATATAATATATCACTCACTTCACAAAAAATAAACGTGTGGGCAATGTCACTATTCAACTCATTTTAAGTTGTAATTTGGGTAAGTTGTCGCTAAATTTTATTTATAAAATTGTTAAACAATCAAAATATTGTTTATATTGACTTAGCTGTGTTAAAACAGTTCGTCAACTTGTTGTCTCACCTACACTTATATATGAAACTCTCGACATAGGAAATTTGTTGCCGTTTGAAAAGACGAAAACCGAAACCTTTTCTCGGTCTCTTCTAGAGAAAGTAAGGTTGTGAACATAGAACGACGTTGTTTTCGTGTTTGTCGTAGTTATAATTTATAATATAATAAATTAAACTGAGGTGTTACGGACCAAGTAAATGAGTGCTGGTCGCATACCTGTATTCGCTTTGTTTTAACTCCACGGAATAAGATTTTTTGTGCTTGAGAATGAGCTGATTGAAATAAATTCTTTTTTTAAAATAAAAAAATTCAAAACAATCTTGTTTATTTGAAGAAATTGTAGAATAACATAATCAATTTGAAATTACATTTAATGCTCTGGTTAAATACCGGCTTATTAATATTTGTCATTGTTTAATGTGAAAAATGTCTTCTGTTTGCTTTGAGGAAAAATGCTACTTAATTCGGAAACCGAATAATTTAGGAGTCTGGTATAGTATAGCACCACAAGTACTTCTCATGGTGATGAATCAGCAAATTTTCAATAGTTTATTCTGTACCCCAATTCAACTACGTCATCTTTCTTGGGGCCTTATTATTGGACGACATAGTCACATGGGAATCAAGAATAAAATATGCAAAAGTTGTTTGACCACGACAACTAGGAGTATTTGTGCCAATATACATTATCCATCGATATAACCGTTTACGCTGTTCGTCGATTAAATCTTACTAATTAACTTTAACTTAATTACTTAATTACCTTCTTACTAATTACCTTTTTTGATGATTTGCTGTTGAGGGAGTTCACCAACTTAATAATTGCGCCTCTCTATCGATATATTAAACACTCAAACTCGAAACTTGTTGCACAGTCCCAAGTGGCGAAAATCAAATTCTGTGATCGGCTCATATAGGATTTGAATAGTTCTACCCCGTTGTTGTGTCTCGAAAGTTGAATCATCTGTATAAGATGATATTGACGTTGCAGTGCCTTATTTTTTCAATAAAGCAGTCACATGTGGGTCGATAATAAAATAAGCCGAAATGGTTAAGATATCAATACAAAATTACTTGTGTTACTATAATATGCCCAGCGCTGGACGTGTCTGAGTTAACGATTTAACATATTCTGTTCTACGACCCAATATTCTGGCCAGATGGGCTTGACCATTGACATAATACACTGTTAAAAAAATTAGTAAATATACTAATTTTTCTAGTAAATTTTTACTAATTTTTCGTTGAATTTTACTTTCTACAAGAGTATTTTATTGAAATCACGTGACTTGCTTAGCTGAGCCAATCAGAGTGCTTGTTTGTTAATAGTTTACTAATGAATAGTAATTTCACTGATCAGTTAGTAATTAATATAACAGAAGAATAGTAAAAAGATTAGTATACTTGGAAAAGTAAAAAAATCTAAGATCCTCTAATTTACGAGTAACTATTCTTTCCAATAAACGAATTTATCTACCTACGCATGCGATATAGTCACGAAGCAAATTTAAATACTCCTTTAGAATTTCATCTAAATTTGCTCTGGGTATTAATTTGAATTAATTTTATTCTAAAATTATTTTGGTTCATCACCCAAAAATTCTGATTGTTTTGCTATTGCATTAGACAAGATAAGATATTGTTTTTATATATTATTTTTCCGGAAGTAAGCGGACCTATTTGTCCAAAAATTCATCCGCAAAAACTCCACGAGGCAGGTTGCGTGCGCAGCATTTTTGATTTCGAGTTTCCTTGCCCATCTCGGCTGGGACGCTAAGCTGTTTGGGAGCTCAGCATCGGTTGCGTGCGTATGAAAACTGAATGCGGTACGTATGTTAAGTATGCAATAGCGTGAGTCTGAGTTTGATGATTGTGTTAGCAACGGTCTGTACGGTAGCTGCGAATTTACCACGGGTAGTGGTCTGAATATTGAGGTACCGGTACTGGTACTTTTTGCAGAGATCAAAGTGTCCTATATTTTAATCCTTCTCTTTACCGTCATAGGTCATTTAGTACCGGTAATGTGCCAATTATGACATCACTCAAATGTCACGTGCCTGTAGCCCGCGCTTTTTCTGGTTCAGGAATTAGGACTCGGTAAGCGAGGCTCTTTGTCGTTAGTGGATGTTTATTTTAGGCGGTTGGTTTTTGTAGCTTTTCATGCGTTAATTGAGCATGTTTGTGTTACAGTAGCAGACTTGTAGTTGGTAGACCAAAATATTCTTTAAATACCGTGTACATCAGCATCTAATGGTACCGGTACCGTACCTGTATACAGCGACATGCTTACACACTGCGTTAGTTTCGCCGTCTTACCGGTACCGGTATATATCGACGACCAAGAGTAAAAATCTGAATTGGCTATTTCAGTATTTGTTTCGGAATAGATGTAACTTACCGGTAGCCTATGGTGATATGATACGTTTAAACGTTACAAGTCAGTGGCAACAATAGGTACGGTACCGGTAACAGACAGATGAATTCAACTATACCTACAAAGTCTACAAGGCGGCCATCTTGTTCGGAACGTATTTGGCGATTTCACAATTTACACTGTATTATTTGACTGTTTTTAAGCGTTTTAACTTTTAGCAGGGTTCTTGGTGTTTTTTGACGGTTTTTCACTGTTTTTAAGCGTTTTAGCAGGGTTCTTGGTGTTTTTTGACGGTTTTTCACTGTTTTAAGGGTTATAGCAGGGTTCTTGGTGTTTTTTTTACGGTTGTTCACTGTTTTTAAGCGTTTTAGCAGGATTCTTGGTGTTTTTTGACGGTTTCTCACTGTTTTTAGGCGTTTTAGCAGGGTTCTTGGTGTTTTTTTGACGGTTTTTCACTGTTTTTAAGCGTTTTAGCAGGGCTCTTGGTGTTTTTTGACGGTTGTTCACTGTTTTTAAGCGTTTTAGCAGGGTTCTGGGTGTTTTTGACGGTTTTTCACCGTTTTTAAGCGTTTTAGCAGGCATTATTATTTAGAACATTGAAATATTCAACCAATAAGAAAATTTCTGAATTTATAAGTTCTTCAAAATCGGAATCAAAGAGTCTGAAAACTGAATTACCAAAATCGACTGGGGTGGTCACGTTGATCGCCTATTATTTCGGAGAGAACCTAAACCAAATATTTAAGTGTTTCCAGGTATGTTCTATGCTTTTTTTGTGTAAAGTACTTTTTTTTGAAAGTTTTTGCATCAAGAGTAATGTAACTTCTGCACAACACTGTTCGTATAAAGTTTTGTGAGCCGACTGCAAATTAATTGGAAACTAACTGCATGATAGTGGTTAACGGATTTTTTTTTTTTGCATATACATTCACTACTTTGCCTATTTTCAGAAAGAAACCACTTTTTCCCAGATATTAAAAGATATTCCAAAATCTCCATTTATTGCTTGCATAGGTAAGTGTTAGAGGTGAGCGATGTAATTGTGAATATCGGGAACAATTTCGAAAAATTAGATGATAGCTGTTTTCCTGTGATTAATTCTGCGCAACTTTTTCAAAGGCCATTTTGTGTCGCCATATAGTTCTCAATTGTGATTATTATAAAATAATATCACCAGCTTCTGTCATGCAACTGCTTTAACTGTTGCGTCACAGTATGCATTGCTTGAAATATGAAATATAATATTTCTGAAAGAACGTAATGCGCATCATAAGCCTCATCAATGTAATAAGTTCTCCCTTCGTTTTATCAGTGTTGCGCTTGCTATCAACGGTGAGTGAAAATAAGAACAAATCCATGTCTGCTATGTTAGATATATAGCCAAAGCAAATTTGGAGATGATCGTACTATTATACAATTAATAATTGTGTAATTGCATATTATCAAAAAAATCACTAATCGTCCACCTCTAGTAAGTGTATTTGTTATTAGTTGGCTTTAGAAGTTGAGATAATAAGATTAATCAACCTGTCGAGTGACTTTCACTTTATTCATAAGCCTATAGATTCGAAGCTAAAGTTTACAATCTTGTGTTTCAGGTAACACGGTAGCGACTGCTGAGACTTTTTACGTCATCGCTGAACGAGAAGTGGTGTGTTCCTGTAGATCGTTTTTTGAAGCGGTAGCTTTTCAGTTTGCTTCGTTCTATGTTTTCAACATAGAATATCCAAAGAAGGCCTTGCTGACGTTTGATTTTATTCAGAGGTAAGAAAAAATGTGCTAGTCTACAGTGCTGATATAATTCTTGCTGTTGCACAATGTACACGTTGTTGACGAATTACCTGTTTCTTCTGTCATGTAGTGTTATTTGATGACATACAATACAAAAAATGGGTTGTGAAAAGGAAATATGTGACTGGACTTGCACAAACTCATGGTGTCCATATCCTGGGGACTGGGCCATAAGTAGGGCTGAGAATAATTTGATTAGTTAAACATTTTTAGGTGGTTAATAATAGACTGACTGGCGGTACCACACATGTTTCCTCCTAATCTAATATGTTTTACATCCATATGTGAAAAATGAACTCACAACAATCCTATTTTAGTGAACTTCAATTTCAAACGATGTCACTGTGCTCTCCATTTTGTAGCAGGAAATTTTTGATATATTTGCAAAAAATCATTACTAATGACAGAAATTAATACAATATTTTCAATTGCTGCATTTGCAATCGAATGTCTACGAGCGGATGAGCCTATTGCGATTTGCGACAACTGGAGGCTAGGAGGATCTGGTGCTTCCTGGTTTAGCCATTGCATTCCTGGCCCACTGGCAGTTTTTTGTTTATCCCTTGGCAAGGCACGATACATTATAAATACCTGACATTTTTACTATTTTTGTCCAGTGTTTGTGTTTTTACTATTTTGGTGGTGAGATGACAGGACGTTTTCCAAATTTCATATGTGAAACCTATTCGCCATTTAAGTTCGGTCTTTTTTCAGGTTCTTCGGTGACATAAACCCCAGAGGCACTAAGTCGAAAAAAAGTAAAGGCAAAGACGTTCATGCAAAAGTAATCGGCCTTGCAAGAAGAGTGAATCTATCACAGGCTTATATGTGCCGTTGTTAGAAATTGATGTTTAAGTAAACTTTGGTGGTGTTACTGCAGCTTACATCACTTTTGGACCAGGGGTGAAAACTCGATCAAATTTTCACATGCCTTGATTGAGTTTCTCAAGTTCGAGTTCATTACCCTGATCAGGGGTTTGAGTTCATGTATTTGATAGAGTTTTTCGAAGTTCGAGTTCGCAGCCCTGCCTTTGGCTGATCGATTAATTGATAAAAAATGATTTAGCTGTGTGTTGGGTGTGAAGTCTGGATAATTTTAAACAACTGTGCTCCGTAATCTTCTTCAACCACAAAATTTCTGGCTTCCACTCATGACTATCAACTCCCACATTTGCAAATATATGACTCCGTCTACTGCTCAAGACTCTTTCAAAATATGAATTAAAACTCTGACTCCCTGATCTTATAAGATTTGACTGCTGCTATGCTAGCTGCTTTAGTGTAACTTTTTGTCCAGTTTTATCAATTTAACATTTTCGAATTGCAACTTCTGCAAACTCTGCTCCTAGCTCATGAGCTTTAAAAATGTCCAGTCAAAACTCTATTCATAAGTGTGGATAAACTCGGACGACTATGATTAACTCTATAGACTCTGCAAGCTTCAAAATTTAGAACTCCCACTCATGCTCCTACCAAATCCTCAAACTCCCGCTCTTCGACTTCACGCCCCTTGAAATCTTATCTTGAAAAACTATCTTGCATAATTAACTTTAGAATTTGTCATCTTTGAAACTCTTGCCATAGCTACAAAATAGGTTGCATGATATTTCCCAAAATTTTCATTTTGAAACATTATAATTAGAGTAAAGTGCAAAAATCGTGTAATTTCTTACAATAGTCTCGTTATTATGTCACGTTTGCCAGCGTCTCATAGCCTGGTATCCAGAAATTTGATTTCAAAATAAGTTTGTCAACTAAACAACCCAGTCCTAAAACGTTTTCTTGTTTGACTTTATTTGGATCTATTGAGATAAATAAATAGACTCGAAATGTATAGACCAGATTTCTAAACAAGTGCCAATAGAAACTCGATTTTGATCCATTACATACAGAATTCCTATGTCCTACAAAACTTGTGCCTCATATTTATTGCATGGATAGCCTTCAACGTCTCCTAATAGTGTTTAAATTTGACTGTAGACCATATATTTTCTGAAATTTCTTTCGAAAACTGTTTTACAAGCCTTAAAGGCATTCAGTGTGTATTTATGGTTTTATAAAAATATCAATTGTAATAAAAGGATTTTCGTTCCAGAATTTCGTTTTTTTTTATTTTAACTGTAATATGTGTGTTTACTGTTGTGTCGTGCTAGTAAATAGCTTTGCTACTCTCGTAGTGGTTCGGTTCATCGCGAGTGAGAAATTACCATCATGCTAGTATTGTATGGTTACTACTGTCGGGTAACGTAGCTTGCCATCGAGATAGTAATTTTTATTTACTATTTTAAGGTAAAAAATATTACTACTGGTGGGTAGGTTTACTGCCGTCAAAAAAGTAGTATTTTTTACAGTTATAGTAATTTTTGCTACCATCAATCTCTGTAAATTTACTGAAAATACTGTTCATAATACTACTGATAGGGCCTGTAAATTTTTTACATGGGCCAGTACTTTTGCTGCCATTTTTTTTAGTAAATTTGGAAAAAATTTTTAACAGTGTATAAACCTTTGTACACGTTCAATGAACTGCTTGTAATGCCATATATTTGAATGTATTAGTCGTCTTTGTGCTTGGATCTTGGTCTGGGCGGAAAATCATAACTTTTTAATGAAAAATGTGTAGTACTATGCTACACCATGTGGTAGAAAACGCGCTTTTCCGGCAGTTCATGCTTGTCTGTGTCGCGGTATAAGCTAATACCTGGAAGGCTTTAATATAATGTGTGGTGCTATACTGTAACCCACAAGCAGCTATGTAGACGGAAAACGCTGTCGCCCAAATCGGGTATATTCATTTCAACTATGGGCGTTTTGTCATGTTTGGTTTAAGCTCAAGAAATAATCTAACGACAAGAAAACAAGAGAGCATAACTTGTATCGACAGATATAGCTTGCTTCATTTCGGGCGATAGTCTGCACGAGTTAAGTTATTCTCTAGTGCTTATAATATTTTGTCATTTGTTACAGAGATCGAGTTGTTCCAAAATGAATTCAGTTGTCTAGATAAATCAGCTTGTCTTCCAGAGTGGCGGTTTTGCGACGGACGTAAGGATTGCAGGTAAGAATTTCTCTATGGAATGTCGAGATTTTACAATATTTATTCATGCTAATAATGATGCATGAAGATCGGTATACTGAAGAAGTCTATCACAAACTCGAAAAATATTCAAATTCATTTATCATATAGAATAGGGTTTGCAAACTGTGATACATTTTCTCGAATTTATCATTTATGTAAGTGAGCTATGTGGCATATAACCGTTTGGCAAGCATAATATTGTATTTCAACATTAAGCGTAATTTATATGAATTGAAAAGTTAATTATTGGATTGTGCGCAAGTGAGTCAAGCATGCAGCCATGTTTTTGTCGCCTGACCAGTCGTGATAAAAACTTTCATTTTTGTGTTTTGACATTTCTATAAATTGTCGTTGATAAAGAATGGTCGAACGTGAAAAATAATAAAAGACACACGATGGTCAGTTGGCTACATCGAAGACATAAATCTCTCGGTATCGCAGATTACATATTGGTTCACATTCTATGCTTAACTCACCCAGGTGTAATAAATTGGAATCGAAAAATATTCCAGTTTAGATTCCACCTATTAACCCTGCCAAAACGCTAAACCCGATTGATGTATTGTTAAAAGATACTGTGGATGGTAAAAAAACGCTCATCTTGGAATATTTTTTAAATGATACAAAGATTGTACTTTAAACGGTAATATGAACTAAGTAACCTTGAACTGTTCACATTTTTAGCGTTTTGTTTAATAGGTAAACAGACAAGAGAGTGCTGTGTTTTATTCCAGATTTCTTTGAAAGCCAACTTCACAATAAATTGTAGTGAAAATAGGGTTTTGTGCGCTCGCCATGTATTCGTAATAGCCTATAAATTTTTCTGTTTCTACCTGTTATGTAAGTGGGATTGGTTTAAATCGAACATCACTTTAGAGTTAAACCAGACAACTTATTAAAATAGGCAAATGCGGCCGTATCAATTTCCGATTTTTAGTCCTGTTATCGTAACCATTGAATAGTGGTGTAAATATGATGAATTAAATGCCGATGAAACGAATTATGAATGACAAAAAATTTAATTCAGAGATGGAGAGCGATGAGTTAGACCTGAATACAACTGTTGAAGGGATGGCTTGTCGAAGACAATATCATATCTGCGTGCTTCCTCGCCAGGAACATCGAAAACTGAAACTTTCTGCAAAAAGGTGAAAAAAACATTAATTACAATACCTTGATAAGATAAAAAAATATTCATATATATTTGTGAAATAAATTTGCACATGAAAATCTGTTAAAAAATAAAACACCAGGCATCAACCAAAAATGGAAAATTCGACTTAAAATGTGATAGACATGCAACGGGTTAAGTAAACATGGGCATTTCTTCAGGACTGCATTTAAAAACTCAAGTTTGGGACGATATAAAACAGTCAGTCAAATTAAATGAAAATATTGAGATATATTTTTATCACGTCTATGGCCACGGTCGATTCGAAATTTGTTCTTATGAGCCACAATGTGAAAGAGAATTCTTCGTTGTTTCAATAGAAAAATTATCTATTAACCTAAACCAAGTATTTAAATGTCTATTGATTATTAATCGTAATATGAATAATGCCAAATCTTTTTTAATACGAAATACCATTTGTGCATAACATGATGCGAACAACGGTTTAAAAATATTAAACATTTTGCTTTATGTTTGATAATGATGAATATACAATCTATAACCGAATGCTAATTAAAATAAGTATTTTTACAAAACATCTCAGTGGACTTGTATATGAATATGAGTCAAAGTTTCCAAATTGCAAATTAATCTAAATTTAATGGCGTCATGGGTTTATTTCTTAAATCTGGTTCCCAAAGTTAATGACCGCGGGGGCGAAATTCGAAGCAGAAGGATATTCGCGGCCAGATAGGAGGGACAAAAAGAGGACAAAGGCACGGCGGAGAAAAATTTTGAAAATTAAACTGCAAGTTTGATTTTAGATACACCTAACATCGCGTTTTTTAGGTGATAGATTTAATAATTATAATAGTTGGGCGATATAATACCCGAGGAATAACAAGCACGACATTTAACAAAAATTTGCAATGTGATAGTGACTAAATGTAAAAACTTCGTAAGCTCATCTGACCTACGGCCTCCTATAAATGACTACATATGGCTTGTTTTTGTTACACAAAAAATCCTAATGTATATAAATATAAAAAAACGAAATGCCAACATAATATAGTTGTGTATTTTTGAATATACGTGTAATTAGGGTTGACTCAAAATCAGAAGTTCAAAACGTGGCTCTAATTCGGTACATTGTATTCGCAATAACGCATTTCAAGTGATTATCTGTCACTCTGAACCGAAATTTTGATTTGTTAAGGACATAATTGTGTTGTCAGAAAGACCGATGATGGAAAATTTAGTTTTTATATCATGAAGAAATCTTTTAATGTACATTGCGTGGTTATTTTAACCCATTTCGTTTAGAATACCATGAAATCCCTTCTTTTTACGTAAACACTATTCCTTGTGTAAATATACACAGTGACACATCTGCAGGTTGCGGGATATAACTTAGATACATCTGCCCTGCACCATAGCAAAGATTTTATCATACTAACCTCATTGCATGAATTCAAAGCGTGTATATAAACTTCAGAATCACTGCCTTCTTTTCTTTCATCACGTGGTCTCTCGTTCGAATGCAAAGCTTACCAACTATTACTCGATCGAACCTGTTATGGGCATAGGCAATAATTGCCAACACACTGTAATCAGGCCTGGTCAACACACAGAAAAAATTCTCAATAATCCG